CGGGCCGGCGGGCCGTCCAGGAGCCCTCTCGAATGCCACCCTCCACGCGTCGGTAGCCCCCCGGGATCGCTTGATCAGTCGGCGCCGGACCGTGAATTTAACCACCCGTAACTCCCGAACCCCGAGGGCTATTGACGCGGGGGTGGTCTCATTCGAAAGAGGGCCTCGAGACGTACACTCGATTCACGTTCGAGAGGCCTGAATTTGGTGCGGATTCGCCGTGCCGTTAAGGAGATATGGCCGTTCAACGTTTCAATGGTTTTCCATAGACTTAAGCTTTAAAGCGTTTCATCCAGGTCGCCAGTAGCAAACAATGGTGCACGCTCTGCTGGACAAACTAAGTAATTACACCATTTCAAGCATTTTATCTGCGTTATATGTTCTGTAAAAAAAATTTTCATATCGGCGGCATATTCGCCGATATATGCTCATATCGGCCGATAATATCGGCTAAACGATATATCGGTCGGGCTCTAGTATTATCTGTTGTATTATTTTTAAGAAAATACAGCAGACATGGATACTAAATGTTTATACTCACAGTTTGCAGATGTCAGTGAAGTTGACAAAAGAAGTTTTCTTGGTCCCAACTCGGACCACCTGAGGCGGCTTCATCACAAACTTCCTCTTCTCCCCTGCCACCATATCAGGGTTCTTCTCCCTCATGATGTTAAACACCCGGCTTAACAACTGTAAAGACGCAGACATGTAAACAATGATACTCTAAATGAAAGGAAAACTATGTCACAAGCATGGGGTAGAAGTACATCAGATGTGTGAGGAATAAGAAGGATTACTCATCATACCTCATCGTAGGTGTAATCCCTCTCTGAACCGGCCCATGCTGGGCCCGACTGTGAACTGAATGTGATGCCATCTGTGCTTTTATCATCCTCGACAACTGTAGTAAAATATAGGTGAAGAATTCACACAATCAAATATTTAATCATTGCCGATAAAATATTTTTCATGAACTCTATAGTTTCTGGTATTAGAAAATTCATAATTTAAAACAGTGCAATTGTAGTGCATTAAAAACCCTTAAAAAGAAAAAAAAATTAAATGATTCTTTTCATAAAATTATAAATTTGATGACGTAACGCAGACTTAATTTTATTGCAGACATATGGAACAGAACATGTAGAAGAGTGGCTGTTTCTTGCAAAAACGCAAGATGTAACTGAGCTGCATAAATAGAAAAAAAAACTTCTTAAAGACAGTTTTGAGACTGATGTGAATTTAGAGTCAAATTCCTTGTAGATGGCAGCTCTTGATAACTGAAAGCTTGTCATACACACTTTTTCCTTTAACTTCTACCTTTTATTATTCTATAAATAAATACAATTATGCAGCACACTAATTAAATTAAGTGTGTCTTCATACCATCATCCTTTTCCACAGTGTCACTTTCCTCAACGAATTCCACTTTTTTTTGTTTCTTTTTTTTAGCTGGAAGCATCAGATCCAAATCATCTTCCTCCATTTCCTGCTGCTCTCCGTCAATTTTCAGCTCCTGGTCACCAATAAAATGAAGAGTCAACAGCCTTTAGAAGAACTACCCAATACAAGAATATAAGCTTAATGGATGTCACATTAGGAATCATTATATCAGACAGCTAAAAAAAAAAATTACAATATCAGAAAATGTAATTGACCCACTTTATATTAGGTGACTATGTACTTATGTCAAAAAAGATAATTGTCAGGTACTTAATGTTGCATTGCAAAACACTTCTGATGTGGGACACGATAAAAGTTAGAGACAGGTTTGGCAGTATGGTTAGGTTTACGTGTGGGTTAAGATGTAGGTGTAGATCACAGTGTAATTATAAATGAACTACAGAAACTAATTACAGATGTAATTGCATACAGGTATTTTTAAAATAAGTATAATGTAAAAACATGTATCTACACGGTAAGTGCATTGTTTCATGATTAATATAAATGTTAGTACACAGTAGTTAAAGTTATTAGTAGTTAAAAAATATAAAGTGGGTGCAATTTCTTTAAATAATAATATTAAAGGGTTAGTTCACCCAAAAATGAAAATTAGACCATAAATTACTCACCTTACTCATTACTCAAGTCTGTTTAATGTTTAATGGCACTCAGCAGGTGTTGCATGCATCCGTCCAAAAGCAGTTAATTAAAATGTGCCCATCCATAAAAATAAAAAAAGTGTCTCACACGGCTCCGGGGGGTGAACAAAGTGTAGCTTGCGCCAACAGTTGTACACGGAAGCAACTCCGGGAGGATGCCGTATGAGTTCAGCGCTGCGCATGTGCCGGTCAGTCTCGTGAAAACCAACGTTTGTTAACAGGAGCAAAGTTTCCTTACTTTAGCAAAGGAAAACCAGTCTCCTCTTGGCTTATATCGAAATCCTCAGACATTCTTCTTTACAAATCCTCGTTTTGTACTTCTAATTAGTGACCGTTGTTTTGTTTTGATCTCTCCCCTGCGCTTCCGCATGCGTCACTTCTGAGCGGCACTTGCGCAACGCTAAACTCATACGTCATCCTCCCGGAACTGCTTCTGTTTACACCAGTTTACACCATACGTTTTGAATATGGATATTTTTCTTACAAAAACGCATCGATTCACTACAGGAGGCCTTTGTTCACCC